GTTCGGATGATACCATCAGATATTACGTCTGAGTGTAAAAAGAGCGGTCTGTCTGGAGGTTGTTTGTTGGGAGACTCCCGAAAAACAAACTCCCAGACCAGAATTGTCGCACCCAGTGCGACGAGCAGGAACCGCCGTTCATGTCATCTATATGTTCATGGCGTTGCTGATGAAGTTACTGGATTTAACGGTTCGCAATGAGGTCATTTTCGGGGTGTCGCAGCACTCTCCACCCCCCGGGAGGAGCCCGGGCATAAAACCAGTTGATATTTCTCACAATTATGGAGCGATTCCATGGATCTGTCGTTCCATGAATCGTCCTACGACGAGTCATAGCCGCGCATCACGACCCCGTGGTTCGCGAATAGTCATAAAATGTGACAATTGAGGTTTTTGTTTGCTGACTGTCAGCACGAGTGTCAGCAGCTGACACTCGTGCGAATCGCATCTTCCCAACTCCCGATGTAGAATGACTCTTTTTCGGAATGTATAGTTTGCATATTTGCGGAATAAATATTTGATCATGCTTTGAGCTTCACAGATAAGACCGGTTCCCTGATTCCGGACTGTTTGAAGTAAGCGAGTTATCGATTCATGGACATGGTCCGAACCTTTCGAGCTGAACGGTTAAGAGACCCAAGAACCATATCACAGTCAAGAACTTGCCATTGAGTTCTGGTACTCATTCACGATCACGATTAACGACTTGTGAATCACGAGTGACCAGTGAGAGCTTCCCTGACTCATGGACTGCATTCCCTTCATGTACGATGAGGGAGATGCGGCTGTGCGACAAATCATTCTCCTGTGGGAGTGACCTATGATTTTACGACACGAAGGTATAGTGGGGACGTCACACGAAGTTTTTGTGAGACTCATAGTGTATCATACCCTGAATACTCCCATTGGGTTACCCAATTTGAATAATGGTACGACCCAGCCCCGTTCATGAACACGAGTCGGGTCATATTTTATTGAGTCCTGAAATCAGCCACTCAGTCGCAGAGAGAAGAAGTCCTCTGGAGAGTGGAAAAGAAAAAGAAGTCGAATATTGGGTAGGCGAAACATTTTCTTGAGCTGCGTCGCTGGCTCCTAAACTGTTGGCAGAGCCAGCAATCCGACTCGAAGCATTGGAGAAGATAAAGCCCTACACTTAGAGAAGTCAGTGGCTTCTCTTAATTCATGGCTGGAGTCCCCGCAAGGATCGTATCGTCTATACCACAGTCCCCTTGGACTATCTTGAAGGTGCCATGGTCACCCCACTCTTCATTCCAGGAGTTCATAACCAGCCAGTAATCAACGCCCTTCTCGGTACCCCAGCCGATGATCTCAACAGCATGGCCCCCAAGGAATCCGCCACTTGTATGCTTGTAGACGCCTGACTTGTAGGACAAGAAGTCTTCATACACAGAGAATGCAGCTGAAGTCTGAGAAAGAATGTAGTAGATATAAAGAATGCTCGGAAGTGCAGGAACAGCCCGTACTGGCCCATTCGTCATGATCTCCTTCTTGATGCTGCTTGTGCTCCCGAACCGACTCGGGAAAAGACTTTCAGTGTAGTGACGATCCCTTAAGACTACGAATTGCGACACACAACTTTCAATCCTTCGTTACTTGTCGAAAGCAGTCCCATACTTAGCATTGGGGCAGCTGCTTGAGCACGAAGGTGTGTCGTATATTTCCTTATAAGATAGAGTCTCAGAACACATGTCGTTGCTGTCCCCCTCACTTTCGCACAAGGTTTGTAGTCGGATCCATCTTGGTGATGAGCACATTTTGGGAAGCTGTACGGCCAACAGCCATCGGCTGCTTTCATATTTTTCTCGGGAACGAATCCTCCACCTGAGTAAGAAGAGTCGGTAGAATCAACAAGAACCGAAAACAGGCAGCTTACCTGAGACGATACCATTTGTGTGAAGAAAAGTCCACGATGTGATAGGATTGCCGCCACTACAACCGAAAGATCTGACACCGAGTCAAGATCGGAAATTTGGCTGGGAGCAGCCGAGGAGGCTTGGACGTGTCTTACAAGCAAAAGTGCCCGATATTGCAGCAAGCGAGCATATTCGCGGCGGATAGGAGTTGGTTGAGCTTCCCGCCCGATTTGATGCAGACTCGGGCATTGAATGCCTCAACTGTCCCGAACGCCCAGCAGCTTCCACAAGCCGACTGATCCCTGCAAAAAAGGATGTTAGCGTCGATAAGACGATTCTCTGGGGCGAAAGTATATCAGCTACCTCACGTGGCCAATGACGTCCTTGCACTCCTTGAACGCATCGCGGGCATCGAAGCTGTCTGGAA